ATGTTTTAATGTTAAGTGTGATAACATGCTCTTGATTTGTATTAGATTTTTTTTCTTTTAAATATCTTTAATATTTTATTTTTTCATTTTTATATTTTTATTATCTTAAGTTGTTAAAAACTCCAGATTTTTTTAATCATAATATTTATATTTAAGTGTATTGTATTTATACAATTGTATTTTGTCATTAATTCTTTTGTATTTTTATCATTTTGTATTGTCTTAAGTTGTCAAAAATGTTATTTTTCTTAATAAAAGCTGTATATTTAATTTGTTTGGATGGATTGCCATTTTGTTGTCTATTAGATGTATATATGTAGGCATTCATTAGCGGTCTATTTGATCTATTCTTGGGCTATGGTTAGACGTCTATTACATTTTCACTGACAGAGCCTTGTTTGCCTTGTTTTAGCCTAGACGTCTGGGCTGTGTTTAGACGACTAATAGACGTCTTTTAAACCTTGCTGGGATTGCTGGGAACCAATTGCGTGAGTTTGGGGCAGGACTATCTAACCAATGAAATACATTAGGCATGTTCAGCAATCCTGACTGAAAACATTATTTTTGCAATTCCATTCTGTGAGGTTGAAGGAATAGTTGAAATTTGCTGAAAATGTACACACCCTCGGGCCATCCAAGATGTAGATGAAAATCAAAAAGATTTGGAGAAATGTAGCATTACATCACTTGCTCACCAATTGATCCTCTGCAGTGAATGGGTGTCGTCAGATTGAGAGTCCAAGTAATCCACATGCCTCGAGTCCATCAATTAACATGTGTAGTGAAAAACTGCATGTTTGTAAGAAATAAATCCATCAAGATGTTTTTAACAAACCATTGCTTCCGTTGCCTCGTCTGAGTCAGGAGAGAAATATGCACAGATTAAGCACCATTTACAAGTGAAAACAGTCCAAAACAGCTCTAAACAATATGGATTACTTGTGGATTATTGTGATGTTTTTATTAACTGTTTGGACTCTCATTCTGACAGCACCCATTCACTGCAGAGGATCCATTGGTGAGCAAGTTATGTAATGCTACATTTCTCCAAATCTTTTCATATTCTCATATACTCATCTACATCTTGGATGGCCTGAGGTTGAGTACATTTTCAGCAAGTTTTAATTTTGAGTGAACTACAGCTTTAATGGCACAGAAATTATACAATTCGGCTTTAAATGCATTCATACTGATTTAAACACTATAGTGCTTCTTTAAGGCATATAGCAAATCCACATGCCTCGAGTCCATCAATTAACATGTGTAGTGAAAAACTGCATGTTTGTAAGAAATAAATCCATCAAGATGTTTTTAACAAACCATTGCTTCCGTTGCCTCGTCTGAGTCAGGAGAGAAATATGCACAGATTAAGCACCATTTACAAGTGAAAACAGTCCAAAACAGCTCTAAACAATATGGATTACTTGTGGATTATTGTGATGTTTTTATTAACTGTTTGGACTCTCATTCTGACAGCACCCATTCACTGCAGAGGATCCATTGGTGAGCAAGTTATGTAATGCTACATTTCTCCAAATCTTTTCATATTCTCATATACTAATCTACATCTTGGATGGCCTGAGGTTGAGTACATTTTCAGCAAGTTTTAATTTAATTTTGAGTGAACTGCAGCTTTAATGGCACAGAAATTATACAATTCGGCTTTAAATGCATTCATACTGATTTAAACACTATAGTGCTTCTTTAAGTAGTGCATATAGCAATGAATTAATAAACAAAAATAGAGTGTTTTCAATACCTGGAGTAAAAAAATGAAGCAATATGTTGATGGAAAGCAGACTACCCTTTAACATTGATCATGTTGTTATTGCTGCTCTTTTCCTCTCAAGACTGTGCTGGCATACCAAAACTATCCTAAAAAAAGAAGTTTTAAAGATTATATTAGAATTTCAAAACATCAAGGTGACCAGATGCCCAGTTTATTTCAGGACAGTCCTGTAAACAAGATGTTTATCTTGTGTCCTGACATATATTAAATTCTCTACTTTTCTAGGAGCAGATCATAAGTCAGAAATACAATATAAGGTTGTGGAAGCAGGCTAAATGCAGGAAGGTTAAAGCTGATTAGTAGTTTTACATGCACGAAAAACGTAAACCCAGACAAAAGCATGGTAACCAGCGCTGTCACCGCAGACTGATGAGACATAGGGAAACAGAATTAGTTGAGACAGGAGACCTGACACACTCCTGAGATTGAAATCACACACACACACACACACACACACTCACTGCAGTGACCGGCTCCCCGGTGGGAGTTGTGTTGATATTGCAGTCAGAGGCTCAGTGGCAGGAGTTGCCAGCAAAATCAGAGAACTAAAACACCGTGTAGCGCTCCAAAAAATGATGCAGCACTTTTAGAGGACATCGTTTTTCCTCTTTCAAAATGTTTCAGCAGTGCAGCGCTTCTCAAGAAGCTGAACTGAAAATCTATGGGGTATTTGTCTTCAGTTTTGACTTCACATGAATGAAAGCTGTGAAATCTTAGCATAAAAAACATATAAAACCACAAGTTTCTGAATTGTTTTATTGATACAGGAACTACCTATCTGTCTGTGTGTGTGTGTGTGTGTGTACTAAAACATACTGTGTCTGGTATGAATTGAAGTGAGCATTTGAGGTACGTTATGCCATCACTTTTTCATCTTCAAAACAGAACTTGATTTTCTCAGATGCACCAAGAGCTTGTAACACTCTAAAGAGAAAGGAAAAAATGAAATCGCATCATATGACCCCTTTAAT